GTTTGCTTGCTTGCTTGCTTGCTTGCTTCTTAAGTCTTTGTGTGTTTGTTTTATTAAAGGTTGTGTTTGAAAATCTTGGGGGCAGTGTTTGGTTTCGCATCCACTGTTCGTCCATGTTCTTCCACTTCTCACCAATTTGTTTATCAGACATTTGGTCTCGGTGCCTTTCTCTTCAATGGTCAAGTATAGCCAGAATCAGGCTGCATTCCATCAACTTTTGAGCACCCTGGTATGTGTGGGCTGGAGATGTCTATAAACGTTGAGTACCCTTGAATTATCCAGATCTACTGGGTGCACACCATGGTGATGGATTTTTCTTCTAATATCGTACTCGAATCGTGGTTGTGTTGCGTAGATGAAATCCACCCCCTGGAGATTTTCACTGTATTACTTTCTAATACCTTGGAACCCATATCATTTTAGCCACAGCCCAAGCCACTCTCCACACCCATCCAACAAAGAAAACATAACATTGTCTGAGAATGTGTTGCGCACATGAAATCCACACTGCCTTGGTATTTACATGAGCACTGCTTTCTAAGGCCTTGGAACCCAATCATTTTAGCCACACAACCCACAGGCTGAACCGCAAAGGCTGAACCACTGTTGTTTGAGGCTCTGAGCACCGCGATAATGCCACGAGATGAGCTTCACAAACGCACGGCTGTACAAATCTCACAGATTGAACTGGTTATCACGTGCCACCCCTAGATGTTATTAGTCAGAAATAGACGAAGTAGCTTTCCAAAAACTCACGGCTGGGAAAAGGATGTCCGTCATCCGTGATCTGCGATAATCTGTGACCAGCCGCGGAAAAGAGGGAGTGAATTTAGGGCTTGGACATGCACTCACATTGTGTGTGTGGTACGACCATCCTACGACCCTAGAAGCATAGCACTTTAGAGTCGACAGAACAAACTTCTTTATCCAGAGGCTATGTTATTGGGTCCCCACCTTTAGCCAGGTACCCCACCCTATTTTACCCACTTCAGAGTCCAAGTTTTCAGTTAATTTGTTTCGTCCCATGTTGGATACCTCTCCAGTTTATCCACCTTGAGGGGGGACCCAACCCCAGCTGAGGTAGCCCAAGGGGGATTATATGTTTTGTTTTCAAATGAATCTGAAACTCATCAAGTCCAAGACATTTTCGCCCTTTGGAAAAGTGGACGGGCCAGCAATGAGACTGTTACATTTTTACAAAGAGGTGAGCCGGAAGGGATGGGAAGGGAAGGCAAGAAGGGAAGAAGGGAAGGGAAGGGACGGGCAAATTGTCAAATTGAATGTCAACATGTTTGCCAGCTGCCAGGCGCAAAAATGTGACATCTCATTAAACATTATAGTCATTGGTTGTGGTTACCTTTCTAAAGTTGAATGCTTTAGACAGGGGGGTATGTATGTGGACACTAGGCATGGATATATGTTGCGGATTTGTGGCTATTTATTGGCGCTAGAAGAATGTGTTTGCGTGCTTTCTATCCTACAACCTCTGCATTGTTATCGATATCGACAGCTTGCGTGCCATGCAACTTGTTATATACATGTTTTCACAACCTGTGCATGATATGCAAAACGCTCCTTCTCACCCGCTTGGGGCAGGTCCTGTAGGTCCACCTAGACTGTGTTGGCTGCCCCTGGCTTTGCGCCATTGCAACTCGCTTTGCAGGACATTTCTCACACAGTAGCGGGGAATCTCTAGCAAGCAGAAGCCGACCCCGCCACCACACTGCTCTCGGGATCCTTGGGAATATCAACTCAAAGCGACGCGCCGTTGCATTCTTGTACCAGCCTTCCTCCACGCCTCATCCCTTCCACGGCTTCGCAAATAGATTGAAAGCATGGAAAGTCCACTACCTTGATTTTGGTTTGCGTGTTTGCATTGATCCTTGAAGCCCCTGCCACATCCAAAACTAAGCTGAACCAGGTATAATTGGGCAAGAGATGGCAAGAGAATCAAACACCAAACGTTGGGGATGCGCGTTCCCCCAGTGACACAACTTATGCAGATCGGTGACGCCAATGGCCTTTGTCTTTCCCGCTTTCCATGCGAAGAGCGTGCGTGCAGGTGCGAAGTGATGCGAAGCGCTTCGCATGAAAACGGACTGGAAACGTCCCCCACAGGGGCACAGGAAACGGCACTCCACAGAGAACGACACCCAACAATTGTAAACATTTGCGTTCGTAGAGAGCAGATGCTCACTTGGTCTTTTGCTCCAGGTAGCACAGATGTCCAGCGCATACCGCCTTATAACCCCTGAATTATCGTCTCAGGAGTTGAATTGGATCACAACACAAACCAGGCACAGACACTTGAATAGTCTCTTCATCGCTGGCGTAGGCCCCCCCCTTACCTGCCGCCAACTTGCAATATTGGTGTTCATTGAGTGCGTGTGTGTGATGAAGGCGGCCGCTTCCCAGATGCAATGAAGGTAATACACCGAACGCGATAAAACAGGGAAAACCCAACGGCACGGGCTCCGTCCGGATGAATGCCCGATTTGCGCATCGGATTCACCAGTCGATTCCAGCGGAACCCTTGCTGCAGCACAAACCCGCGCCCAACACTTGTGTGATGGTCCACGCAACAGGGACCTTTGTGTCCACCAGACCCTGACGGATGAAGGGCTGGATGTTCAAGGTCAGATGGTGAGGAAGGTGCAGGATATATATATAATATATTATATATATGGAATTGAAATATATGGATTTTTGGTCACAAGGACGACATAAAGGACAGGTTGCTTTTGAGCCTGGTGGCTAGAAAGATGCGTATTTTCCCGAGGCGAACAGGCGTACCGGTGGAAGTTCCAGATGTTCTGTGTGACAGCCCATGCAAAGCACCTAGCATGTACACATTAACATCGTCATCACTCTCGGCAGGTGATGACCGTCCTTCCCTTGCACATTCGGCTCCGACCGCAGCGCCTTGCGGCTGCAGTCTTTGGTAGTTTGGGACTCACTGTGGCATTTGCATATACAACAGACCGTGTTGATGTGAAGTCGCGTGATTTTTGCAGCCACTTGCCACAGTTGGTTGGAACCCTGCCAGGGCTTGGCCAAACGCGCCATGTTCAGGTGGCGTGAGGGATTTGGCACACAGGGGCTGGTCAGGAAGGAAGGAAAGCAGGTGTCTTTCAGGATCTTGGTGGGGATTAGTGACGTACTAGTGAAGATGAGGCTTGAGGTGATCTTTGTTGATTGCACCCTTTTCTGTCATGTGCTTTCGAGACTCTTCGGAGCAGCACCCGGCCGCCGGCCTTGGATCAACGGTTCTTGAACTTGGACCCCCGTGTTGAACAACGCAGGTTCGCTGTGGAGCACCAGAATTGAACTCGCAAAATCAATGGCACAGAGAGAGAGAGAGAGAGATTCTTTTCACATATACTCAATTGACTCGCTGTATATTATATATATACCAACATATATGAATGGCAACCACCCCCCAAAAAGAAAGCTACATAAATTAGCCACTAGTGGCATAGTCAAGAAAGAGTGGAAGCGCTTGAGGTGGCTTGGAAGTCCAAGTTGATGGCCAAATGGCCATTTTTGCTCAAGAGCCACCGTAGGTTTTGGGGCGCTGGCATTTATATGTATATATATATATATATTTATTTATGTGTGTATGTTGTGTTATGTTAATGCTAATGTTAATGTAATGTGATATAATGTAATGTAATGTTGTGTAATGTACTGTACTTTACTGTACTGTAATGCAATGTAATGAATGTAAAGTATGCATGTATGCATGCATGCATGTATGTTCTAGGCTCTAAAGTCGTTAAAGGAATCTGCATCCCTCGCCACCGCAGGCTGCAGCCACCCGTGACCCTCGCGACGCAGCTGAGGGCCCAGTGCGTTGGTCAAAAGAGAAGAATCTTGTGCAGGATTTTGCTAAGTGCATCTAAGTGCGTCCCTGGAGACAGTTGTCATCGTGCTTCAAGTGTCCGTGTGTTTTCTTACGGGTCTTGCGAACTGGGTGACCTCCTCGCGTTCCATAGGTCAATTGGTTCAAGCCGATTGCCGTCTCACGTCGAAGGATTCTGGTCGAAAGCACCGAATCATGTTCCTCCCGTACAGTCATTTGCAGCCGGACCTTCCAGAAAATGGATGGGACGGAAGCAAACAGTGGGGAGGCGATGGAATCGCAGGAGCCTGCTCGGTACCAGACATGTACCACCTTCAGCAGCAACAACCTTGTCACGGTCCTTGTGTAGGCCCTGCTTATCAAGATATTCAACCTACAATGATGTATATGGCAAGCAACCCGATGGGCCAGATGGACAATGCACAGCATGCCTTTCAGCAGCTCCAGGGCTTCCAGGGTTGTGGAATGATGGGGGAATCGGTTCCAATGTCGGAGCCAAACCTTAGCTTCGGACAAAGCACTTGGCACGGTGAAGGCACTAGCTGGTATGATCCTAGCTTGGAACACTTGATCCCCAACGGGCAAGACCATCTCTCGAACCAGCCCTCAAAGATCCAGGATCAGGACGAGGACACTGTCGATCCACTCGGCCTTTTACTGGCTGAGCTCAAGCCGTCACAACCAACTTCGTGGAAGGAAACTAAGTGTGACGAGGTGGACGAGGACTTTGAGCGTGACGTGACCAACGCAGTGGCCATGTTTCTTCAAGGCAATGACATAGACCTTGAATCTGAGGATGATGTTGAGGTTGATGACTCGGCAACCTGGGAGACTGGGCCTACCAGGGCACCAGCCAGGGAGGTGCCAAAGACAGATGTGCCGCAGGGGGATGAAAAGCCCATGGAAAATGTCCACCGCGACCCGCAACTCTTGTCTCTCATTTGCCAATTTGCAAAAAGGCTCCAGCAGCTGGGCCATGATCCAGACAGTAACATGCCATCCGAGATGCCTGCAGCAGGAACTGGCTCCATGGAATCAATGCCTCAGTTTCCTGAGACTCTTCACGCCGGTGTGTTGAAACTCTTTGAAAACATGACCTCGAGTCAAGTTCAAGAGAGTCCAGCTCCATTTTTTTCCCATGCCAGGTGCCCAACTTGCCCCAGCTTCACGGGAGGCCCTTCCAAAGGCTTCACTCCAGCTGGAGCATTTGGTTTGCAATCCATCAGGTCGCCGGTCGCCCATTGGGCCAGAGCTTCAGCGTGGGCAGTGCATCGGTGTCTTGCTCAAGATGAAGCGTTTGCCACCGGGAGTCACTGCTGCGCACTTGGCAGTCTTGCGGCCCCACGTGACCTGGTTTTGCATATGTCATCTTATATCTTTGGGGAAGCAGGATTTTCCTCTTATTTACGAGTATTGTACGAATCCTCTTTCGGGGAGGTTGTTTTGTGTTTTTCAGAGTGCTTCAGCAAATCCGAGGTGAGGGAGACCATCAAGAACTTGGTCCACAGTCAAGTGCCGCCAACCCTCAGCAACATCACAGAGTGTTTGCGACGTGAAGGAGTTGGAGAACCTGCTTGCAAAGCTTTGCTCAATCTTTGCCACATTTTCTCCAGCACCTTTTGCCTGTGGGTGCCAGAAGAAGGTGAGGTAAGCATAGTACTTCTTGAGGAGCCGTTACCTCCGCTACCAGAGAAGACCATCCAGGACTTGCACATGGCCGTAGCAAGGCGGCTCCCGCACAAATTGAACATGATGAATTTGGCGTGCATGCGCGAGGCAGCCGATCCAAGTAGCCGTGAGTTGGCGGAGGAACTGGCCAGGGATGGAGTGACCACGTTGATGATCAAGAATCTCCCAACAAGCCTCCAGCAACCACAGGTCATGGATGAGATAGACAACACGGGCTTTGGCGGGAAGTACGACTTCTTCTACATGCCAGGAAACTTCACCGGGCACCACAAGTCTTTGGGCTACGCCTTTCTGAACCTCAAGGATGTCCAAAGCATGAAGGACTTTGTGACAGTATGGCACGGCACTAAGAGGCTGGGTGCCAAAGAGTATCCTTTGAAGGTTTCCGCGGCTGATGTGCAAGGCCGCGACGCCAATGCTCAGAACTTTGGCCCACGGATGCACCGTATCCGCAATCCATCTTTACGACCTGTGATTTTGGGTCCGTTCCCAGAGAAATCAGATCAAGCATGATCAGACGAGTTGAGCAAAAAAGAGAGAGAGAGAGAGACAGAGAGTGAGAGAGACATCTAATGAATTTACAGCATTCTTCATTGCTTGAAGACTTCCTGGATTTGTTTGTTGTTAAAAGTGTTCATCTCCCGCACTGTTGAGCGATCACTTAGCGATCACCATTTAATCCATGCCAATCCCATATAATCGCATGTTCCAAAATCCAAGAAGAACAGACCGAGGTGGTGAAGATCTTCAACACCCGGCAGCGGCCGGGTTGGACAGTACCCTGGCAGGCCTCCTCGAGGGTCCGGGCGATGCACGAGTGTGGAAGCCACATGAAGCCACCTCAGGGGAAGGCTGAGGCAGTTCTTCCCAATTCCGGTCAAGCTGCAACTGTGGACGTTGGAGTGCAGCCACCGTTGATCAACTGCCGTTTCGATCTATGCTTGCACGCCCTGAGAGCGAGCCTGGGAAGTCAAGTGAGCCTGGGAAACCAATCCAAGCGAGCCTGGGAAACCCATCTCACAGGGCTTCTCGAAACAAGTACCGTTCATAACAGGGTTTCTGCAAGGAAAGCGAACGAAAGCTACGTGCCACCAGCCTAGCAAGCCAGGACCAGCCAGTTGAAAGCACTTCTGGCCCGGCGCTTGACATTCTCCGAAGGACCCAGCAAAAGATCAGGTGGAACACGTCAGTAAGCAGTTTGATAGCTGATAAGGCGATCGGCGTCGGCTGATTGATGCGATTCTGCATGTCACGTTCGTCCGGATGACTCTCGACTCCTCTGGATCCACTCAGTCCCCTCGGGGACAGGTCAACGACAGGTAGCACCCGCAAGGCAGAAGAATGGCTCAGAATCAGGGCATTCTGGACAAGTGATAGGTGCTGAGTAGGCCTAAAGCATCCTAAAGCATTGATGCCCGAAAATGAAGGAATGATCCAAATAGTCACACTTGGAGCAGGTGGAGTCTATCACTCATCCTCACTCATCCAGCCAGATGATTGGCTATGTAGGCTGTTGTGACCTGCCCCTCGAATCGCGGCATGCTTTTCTCCGAGGTTCTGGTGCAGTGATTGCCACACGTGCTTGGGCACAGCCCACACTGGACGCGCGTGGAGACGGGGGGTGCAGGGTCAAAGCCTAGGTCACAAGCGATTCGGAATAGATGGCACAAACTCTGGCTATGTCAAACATATTCGGACAAAAAAAAGCCATCATTTGCCCGAAGCGACTGTATTTGGGTGAGGTGAAGAATTGTTTTGAGGATTGCAGGATGCATTTTACTCTTCCAGCTTCCGATTCCCTCTCAAAGTGAGAAAGGTTTCCAACTCTTTGAACAATTAAATTAAATAGTGCCATAGAATGCCATAGAATGATCGAAGAGTGAGTACGATTGAGATGGTTGAATGTGTGTGCGTGTATGTGTGTTTTATTTTTTTCTCAGGGCTCACGCATGCGGGAAACACTGGCCGAGGTCTTGGTCTTGGAAGCGAGGTGGGACGAGCTGTGCCGGACTCGGCCGGTGCGATCGTGCACGGGTCGGTGGTGACGGACAGCAGTGAGGTACACCAGCCGGACAGCGTGTTCCTATGTGATCAAGAATCAAGTCTACACTACAAGGTGCTTCGGTGCCATCTATTTGTCTAATGACCCTCTCCGGCCTGTGTTAGCATGGCAAGAGATGTGATGCTCAACCTGCCAAACTGTCCCGTCAAAGGCGCCTGGCCGGAGGTCGAACGGACTTGTTAGACCCATCCAAGAATCCAGTGAGTGGATACTGAGCATCCCTCCATGAAGCACGAGAGATTGAGATGTCACAGCTGGAGCGAGAGAGAGAGAGAGAGAGTGTGTGTTTTAACCCATGCCCCAGCGAAGCACAGCCACTAGCTCACGAGCTCGTGATGGTGACTGGCTACCTCGGACTGAGGTGCTCACAGCCGCCCATGTCATCGCAGATAGCAGATACCTGCAGGCCCTGGGGCGCTCGTGGGCCCAGGAACATCAAGAAACTATAGATTTGCACTTGTAAAACATATCTATCCATTGTGACTGGGACCCTCCAAGATTTGTGACCTCAGAAGGGGCACTTGGGTTGGAGGTTCCTGGTATGTTGGTTCTTTTCCACCCAGAAGTTTCTGCAGTGCCTGATTGGGTTCTTTGAGGTGGGAGTGTTTGTTGCCGGCGGCCGATATCGAATTCAACCTGCACTTGGCACGCTGGTGCAGATGAGCCAGCATTTTTGGCCGGCAGCCGACTTAGCCAGGTCCCAAATATAGGTTTAATGCATTTCAGTTGCGGAAAGACTCGGGCATGAAAAGCGAACAAATGCGGGGAAAGGGCATACAGTCGGTATACAGTGGGTAACTATATAAGTTGCAAACTGCTTGACAGATTCTTGTTTTCATTCATGCATGGTTTGCACAGTTGGGTCAATTTGGGGCTACATGCTGGACCGATGAATTATACAAGATATTTTGCAATATACGAAAGAGTGACAGAGTGGTAAGAGATTATATATACATTTACTTCACAAACAAGAGAGAGAGAGAGAGGGAAAAAAATAACAGAGAAGTGCACTAGCATTTCTCTCTTATCAAGCCCTCAGACTTATCTCGCCGCTCAGAAGACTGTATCAATACATATTATACGATGTGACGAACACAAGTACAGTGACATTGACATAACTCATTTCTATGTGATCCGTTTTTTCGGTGTCGGGACGCCGCTGCGAGGTGCAGCGCACCAACGACCGCTTCGGTGGCGAGAAGTTTCGCGCCGTGGCGGGTCCACGCGAACGTTCGGTTTGGAGAGCGTTCGACTCGGCCCAGCCCAATCGAATTAAAAAGAGCTAAAAAGTAAGACCATTAACAATAATCATGCATAATTCATCATTTACAGCCTTAAACACTTTGATATTATGTTCATTTATTTAGTGTATTTAGTACGATTTACCGCTGCTGTGCTGTAGTCGAGCACGGACCCGTAGTAGCCATGTGGCACTACCTGCTCATCATGCAGGCTGCAGAAGCAAGGTTGATGAACTTGGACATATGTTTAGAGCTCACCACTTCTAAAGTGTAACTGATTTCTCAAACCACTCTACTGTTTCTTCCCGTTGCTTACTGTTGCTGGGTTTGGTCTAATTTCCTTGCCACTGATTCATTGTATTCCGTACCATCCCGCAAAAGGGTGGCAACGAGTCAACAATCTAGGATTGGACCCAAAGGTTCTTAGCGGGTCAGCAGCACAATCTGAATGTATATATATATATATACATATTTCTACTGTATATTGGATGATTCGCACCTCTTGAGGTGCTCATGTAGTGGCTGTGTGCCATGAGATCGACCTGGCCTTGCATGGGCACCCAGCGCGTGAAGATGGGGAAACTGCAAACGATGGAAGTAGACGAACTGCACGCATTATCATTAGCATTCATTAGCAATAATCTTGGGGATGGCAGTCCTTATTCGGTGCGAGTGCATTGAGCTCCACCTATTCGGAAGCATAAAAAGCTGCGGAGTGCCACGCCACGTGCGTTTTTTTTGGTCTTAAGCACCGAAGGCAATACGGGCGACAAAGGGCTTGCTATGGGGCTTGCTATGTGGAAAGTAGAATAAAACAACACGGCGGAAACGGTGATTCAGACTGACTGGTCGAAGACTAGTGATGTGAGGTGTGAATGTGGACTGTATGAGTGACAGTACAGGACAGGAAAGGCAAGGAGGGATTGGATGAATGAAGTAAACTGAAATTAATTGAATGAACAAATGAATAAATGAAATTATGAATCAGGTTCATGGGTGAAGCTTTATTTATACCTGTCCGACTGCATAGGGCAGCAGGACAGCTCCATCATGTTGTGGGTAGTCGGATGGTAGAGATTGTGCCTTCTGTACACTTCTCAAATTCATGTAATTATCAGATCTTCTCTTAATACTGTTATATCATGAACATTAATACCGGTATAATTATCAGATCTTCTCTTAATAATGTACAGATTCATGTAATTTTATTATATCTTCAGATCTTCAGACTGTTTAAATGTAAATTGTGGCGGTGATGATTTCGAGCCCACAAATACGTTTGTTTTGACCCAGTTGAAACCAGACTATTTCCCTATTGCCCCATTGTGTCATTCAAGCAGTGACAGCCCGCTACAGCCCGCTACATGCGGGCGCTAATGGGCAGGTTGCGGCTAGAGGAGGAAGAAGTACTGGAGGAGAAAGCTGTCGGATGGGCAAGACAAGCTGTTTATTCGCCTTTTGTTGTTTTTGGGGAAGGGGCCGTCCTTCACCTGTGTTCCCAGGGGGGCCCCTGCGGACTTGATACGACGGTGGCCGTCCCGTTGTTTATGTTTTGTTGCTGTTTTGCTTATATGGTGCTTCGTTGCTGCTGCCTTGCGCCTTGCCTTATTCACTCCTGTGCGTATTGTCTTCGTCTCGTCTTCGCAGAGTGCCGTTCGTCCCGCCATCCTTCGTGCTCCTTGTGCCTCCCTGTGTTATCGTTGTGTTTTCTTGTTTGTTTTCTTTTTCCCTCTCTGGTTGATGTTCTTTGACGTTTCTTTTCCCCCCCCAAACTACTGCTTTCACCGCTCTGCTGATCTTCTGAACGTGGGTTAGGTTTTTCCTCGGGGTAGGGCTCCGTTTGGCTGTGGGTGCTCCTCCTGCTTGGTTTCCGTAAACCCACACCTAGGCCTCAGGGCGCGTTGGGTGTTGGTGGTGCTGCTCCGGTTTCCCCCCTAGCTTTCGCTCGTTTTGCCCGGCTACCTTTGTCTCGGCCTTAACGGCCCTAGTGAGCTTTGTGCGCTCTTTTGTGTGTGGCGTTTTTTACGCGCACGTTTTACCAATTTTCCGTTTCTTCTCGCTTCGTTTTAGGAGTTTGTGACGCTATGCCCATTTTGGGCGATCAGCGATTACCACGATGGTAAGCGAGACAGACCTCTGTACAGTAAATTTATATATAGTTATACGATTATAATCGATTATATACTCATACCTGCTCCACATCCAAGCTG